AGTAAAAACCTCACTTCTTCGGATGCATAGAGTGAGGTTTTTACTCACGAAAGCTTATGCCCAAATAAATCTGTTAGTCTTTAAGGTGCCACCAGACTCCTTGTTGTTTTTGGGAACATAAGCCTTCTCACTCAAACTAGCTGTTTTACATCTTTTCCCTGCAAGACCGCCTGTCCCTCCCTCTTCTTTCAGAGAGACCCCCTGTTTTTTATATTCCTGAGCTGGCTATTATGAGACGCATTTAACCTGCCTCCAGGGTGAGTCAGCAAAATAGTTCTGTATCGTCACACAAGCTCTTAGAGCTTAACAGTCTATGGTGCTCCACTCAAAGACACTCACATCATAGGTGACTTCTTCAACTTGGTCCTTCTCCATCAGGAAGACCTTGGAGACCTGTTCACACGGCCCTTGCAGAATGCGGGCAATCAGTGGATAATCTGTAGCCTTCAATTTCTGTTTTTCTGCAACGGGCCCCCCCCCCCAGGACAGTAATTAGAAAACAGACCATACAGACAAAGCAGAAGATACTATTTTTAATCTTGGCAGTATCCCTTAAAGCAGTGGCTCACAACCTTTCCAAACAACTGTACCCCTTTCAGGAGTCTGATTTGTCTTGCGGATCCCCAAGTTTCACCTCACTTAAAAACAATTTGCTTACAAAAATCAGACATGAATACACAACAAAGGGTCAGAGCGCACTATTACTGAAAAATGGCTGACTTTCTCATTTTTACCATACAATTATAAAATAAATCAATTGGAATATAAATATTGGACTTACATTGCAGTGTATAGTCTATAGAGCAGTACAAACAAGTCATTGTCTGTATGAAATTTTAGTTTGTACTGCCTTTGCTAGTGCTTTTTACATAGCTTGTTCTAAAACTAGGCAAATATCTAGATGAGGTGATGTACCCCCCGCCCCCTGGAAGACCTCCGTGTACCTGCAGGGGCATGTGTACCCCTGGTTAAGAACCACTGCCTTAAAGATACGCAGCAGACGTTGCCAATTAAGCCAAGTTACTCTAAACCATTACAGCTTGAGGATTTCTTCCAGACTTACCTCCGCTGGTGTGGACAATATACAATGCAAATTCGTCAGCCGAGTTTTCAATCTGAACCCAGGAAAAAAGAAAGATGTCAAAGTGTCAAAAGGCAGCTAGATTACTTTTTGAAAAAAGAAACACTTTGCACTTTCATAACACCTTGCATCCAAGGACTTGCAAGTACTTGATAAGAGACAATTCTCCACCATATGCTTTTGGCTTCAGGCAAGAATTCTAGCCATTTAGCAGATGGGTTAAAAAAATAGGGTAGAGCTGGGAACAGAGCCTAGTATTCCTTTAGCTCAGGGCTGGGCAAAATACTGCCCGCGGACTGGATCCAGCCCGTCTAACATTTCTGTCCAGCCTGCCAGGCTCTTTGGCTGCCCCCTCACAATCTCTGGGCTGCTAAATGTCCCGTGGCGCAGCGGGGTGCTCAGGCAGGATGCCTGCCTGCCTGCCGTGGCACCACGCCGCTCCCAAAAGCCGCCAGCTACTGCAGGCATGTCTCTGCGCACCCTGGCGGGAGGCGGCTCTCCACACTGCCCCCGCCTCAAGAGCCATCCTCACAGCTCCTATTGGCTGCAGGGGTGGTGCTTGCAGGCGCAGGCAACACACGGAGACCTGCTGCCTCCTTCCCTGCAAGGGGTGCGCAAAGATGTGCCAGCAGCAGCCGGCTGCAGCTCCCGCCTGAGCCCTGCTGCGCTGCCAGCGGGGAGCCACCTGTGGTAAGCACCTCCCAGCCGGAGCCTACACCTCACACGCCCTCCCACACCTCAACCCCCAACCCCAGATCAGAACCCCCTCCTGCACCCAAACTCCATCCCAGATCCTTCACCCTCTCCTGCACCCCAATCCCCTGCCCCAGCCCGGAGCGGCCCCCTGCACCAAACTCCCTCCCAGATCCAACACCCCCTCCATTAATATAGTAAAAATGTGCGGCCCTTGACAACTTACCAGAATTCGTGGAGTGGCCCCCCTGCGAAAAATTATTGCCCACCCCTGCTTTAGCTTTATTATGGTAACACCTAGTGAATAGGGCCCCATTGTGCTAGGCGCTGTACATACATATAAGTAGCGTCTCTGCCCCAGAAAGCTTACAGTCTAAGTAGACAAAGGGTTCCAGGGGAAACAGAGACACAGACAGGGGAAGTGACTTTACTAAAGTCACTCAGCAGGTCAGTAGCTGATCCAAAAATAGAGTTCTGGTTTCCTGACTCCCCCCTCCAGTGCTCTGTTCAGTAGGCTGCCCTGCTCCGGACAAAACCCCTCCCAAAAGTGGGAAGCAGAATCCACCTCCCTGCTTTAGGCACAAGAAACATGCTTGGTCCAAGCAATGGTTCACTTCTGACTTTGCTTGGTCTGAACCAAGCAGTTGCCCAGGATTCTCTGATACAAAGACCCTGTTGAACTAAAAAAGCATCTTAAATTATACGAGTTTAATGAGAAGGTTTAATGGAGAGAGTAAATTGGGATAAAACTTGCCTTAAATTTATTGAGCAGCAGTTTGAGAGCTTGAGAAGTGGTCATTGTGCTGTTTATCCTGACATTAGTGACTGAGCCATAGGCTGGTGTGAACACAGATGTCTTGGGATGGAAAAGACACAATGGATTTGGATTACAATAAGCACAATATGCATCGGTAATTTTCCTCACAAACACTTCCCCTCCCACACCCAGGCAAAGTTCACTCCAATGCTCTCCTCAGCCCAAGGTCTAGGCACCTTTCAAGTCCCATTTAAACCCTATTTTGAAGAATTCAGGGGATCCCAGGTTTACTGCACATGGATGGGTTTTTGGGACCCAGCCAAGGTCGCTAAAAGTAGGAACACACTACAGAGCTACTCTTCAGCCACATAATCAGTGCTGACATTTGAATAGTGACACTTTCTTTTTAATCTGCTATTCAAGTTATTTTCTGGCACTTCAAAAGTGTAACTAAATGCTCTGTCTGGGCTCCGGGTCCTTACTTTGTGATTGTAGAAATGCCCGTTGATGGAAAACCGATGGCGTTTGATCCGCCGCTGTTCACTTGGAGTACGGAAATTCCCCCTGCGACGGACTCCCACGTCACTCCGAGTCCTCATCAGCTGTGGAGTTTCCTCTTGCTGGGGTTTTAAGTCTCCGACATCTGAGATTAAGAGTAAGAATGGCTTTAAAACAAGAGACTCACATGTGTAAAAGGAGATACCACTGGAGAAACATGTGTCATTACTACTTACATGGTCAGCTCTTTGGGGGAGGGACCATCTCCTTGTTCTGTGTTTGTCCAGCACCCAGCACAATGGGGTCCTGGTCCACTACTGGGGCTACTAGGCACTGCCACAAAACAAAGACCTCCAGAGGTCATCTAGTCCATCTTGATCCTACACTGAGGCAGGACCAAATAAATCTAGATCATCCCGGGCAAGCATTTATCCGACTTGTTCCCAGCACTGGAAGCTGTTAAGAATTCCATAGCCTCCTTTGCTAGCCTGTTTCAGTACTCAACTACTCTTATAGCTAGAGAGTTTTTCCAAATATCTAACCCCAGTCTCCCTTGCTGCAGATTAAGCCCATTAGTTCTTGCTCCACCATCAGTGGACACGGAGAACAATTGATCACTTTCCTCCTCCTAATAGTCCTTAACATATTTGAAGACTTAGCAGGTCCCCCCTCAGTCTTCTTCTCTCAAAACTAAATGTGCCCAGTTTTTTTAACCTTTCCTCACAGGTCAGGTTTTCTAAACCTTTGATCATTTTTATTGCTCTCGTCTGGACTCCCTCTAGTTTGTCCACATCTTTCCTGAACTGTGGTACCCAAAGCCAGACACAGTACTCCAGCTGAGGCCTCACCAATGCCAAGCAGAGTGAGATAATTACATCCCCTGTCTTAGATATGACACTCCCACTAATATACTCCAGAATGATACTAGCCTTTTTTGCAACTGCATCACGTTGTTGGCTCATCTTCAATTTGTGAACCACTATAATAACCCTGTCTCTATCATTATTCGATATTAACACTAATTGTACAAAATGACAGTTCCAGAAAACACCTGCTTATAAGAAGGTTTCAAGTAGGGTGGGGAACCTCCGGCCCATGGGCTGGATCTGGCCCCCTGCTTCATTTCATCCGGCCCGTGGCAAGTGTCCGCGCCATGGCCCAGAAGCTCCAAGCCTCGTTACCACTCCCGCCACAGGGCTGGAGCTGCGAGCCAGGTCGTTAAAAGTCCGGTCAGCTCCACGCAGCGACCGGAAGCGACCAGCATGTCCCTGCGGCCCCTAGGCGCAGGGTGATCAGGGAAGCGCCACGTACTGCCATTGCCCCCAGCGCCGGCACCACAGCTCCCACTGGCCGGGACCCGTGGCCAATGGGAGCTGTGGGGGCGGGGCCTGCAGGTACAGGCAGCGCACACTGCGGAGAGTCCCCTGGCCCTTCAACCTAGGGGCTGAACATGGAGGCCACTTCTGGGAGCCTGCCTTAGCCCCGCTGCGCCACCATCGGGGAGCCACCTGAGGTAAGTGCTGCCTGGCCGGAGCCTGCACCTTGAGCCCCCTGCCCCAGGTCGGAACCCCCTCCCGCACCCTAACTCCCTCACAGACCCCACATCTCCTCCCATACCCCAACCCCCTACCCCAGCCCTGAGCCCGCTCCCGCACTCCAAACCCCCTGGCCCTGACCCAGAGCTCCCTCCTTCGTCCCAAACCCCTCATCCCCAGCCCCACCCCAGACCCCACACCAGAGCTCTCACCCCCTCCCGCACCCCAATCCCCTGCCTGGAACCTAGGGGAAGCCCTGAGCCTCCGCAGCCCCCACCTCCCTCATGGGGCTGTGTGTGGTCCACGACTGATTTTTTTTCTATGGGTCAGTGGCCCCTGATAGAAAAAAGATCCCCCACTCCTGGTTTAAAGTGATGCAAAGTTCTGCATTTTTTAGCCTGAAATCAATTAGAGCTAGTGCAATATAATCTTAGCTGCTGGTTTATATATTAACCCTAGGGTGACCAGATGTCCCGATTTTATAGGGACAGTCCTGACTTTTGGGTCTTTTTCTTATATAGTCTCCTATTACCCCACACCCGCTCTCCCGATTTTTCACACTTGCTGTCTGGTCACCCTAATTAATCCACATCATCTTTTTCATCTATCAATGGAGGCTATTAATTCACAATTGCAGTGTAAATCCATGCAACTACTTGGCTACAGCCTCTTCTTTTACGATGTTAAAGCATCTTACTCTTCTTGTCATATTTTAACATTTTTTAAAAATGAGAACAGGAGACGCAAGCCAATACTTAACATCTCTGAATAAAAACTGGCCCATATCCAGATTATAATGAAATAGCAGTTCATCCATTTTTAATGAACCACTTGAGCTAGGACTTTATTATTATTATTATTTTTTTAAATTCAAAGCACGTCCGTGCCAACAGAATCTCTTGCACGTTCCATTCCCCCCCCCCAGACAGGCAACAGTGATCCAACATTCACGAGGAGTCCTAGCTGTACATTATGTAGCAGTTTTATGGGCATATATGACAACCACAATAAAGGTTTTTGCAATGCCATGCTATTAATAGAAGACACCTCTCAAGGTACCTCAGACAAGTAATAATAACCAACACTGAGATGGGTGATTGCTACGTTCCAAGTGCCTCGCACATACCAGGTAGTTGGTCCTCGACGCAGCTGCCAGGGAGGGACGTATCAGGCACTTTGACACGTAGGGAAGCTAAGGGAGACAGGGTCAGAGCCCTTCTTTCAGAGATTCTGAGCACCTACCATCTGAAGTGCTAATGGGAGCTACATGTGCTCAGCGCCTCAGACAAGCGACTTGGCCACAGAGTGAGCGAGTAGCTGAGTTAGGATCATGTGGCTCCCAACGCCCAAATGCCAGACGCCATTTCTGTAACAGCAGAAAAACGTCCAGGCGTCTTATGGGGCAGGGTGGGAAAACAAAATTTAACCGAGAAAAGGCACGTCCGTAAGAAGCCATGATATAAACCACATAGGGTTGCAACTGCCCTTTCAGGCCCAACCCAGATTACAATTCCATCTCTCTACCCCACCAGCCAGTCCCCGAGAAAGAACATAATGGAACGAAGCTACATTAACAAGGAAGCCGTTGCAGAAAGGATGTAGACTTCCTGTTTTTACAGCCCCACACACAGCTTCCTCTGATATGGTCAGATTGCCCCGGTAAAGAAGGCGTTAGAAGGAGTCCTAAGACAGGCACACTCGTTAAACGCACTGAGCACTACTTACCCACGATGGAGAAGATTTCCCAACTGTGCATAGCCTTTTAGAGAATTAACATTTAGATAGCACTTTCCCTCCCAATAGATCCCAAAGTACATTGCCATGGCTATACAGGAATGGCTTCATCTACTGCTGAAAAGCAGCCATCTCCAGAGAGCAACACGGTGGGTCTTTAACAGTGTCTTGGAACACTGCATAGCAGTCAAGGAGGGGAAGCTGATCAACCAGCCAGAATTGCAGGAAGATCCAGACAGGCAAACTGTGATTACAGATTGTCTTGTCCTCGGGACTTCTCCATCCACACCCTTGGAAGATGGGCCATGGGGGTCTTCAATGATCCCAAATGATCTGGTTTTCTGTTTCTCTGTCTCAAGAGGACAGCTTTGGCAGCACCACCAGTTAATGCCATTCTGGGGCACCCATTAAGCACCAAGACACAAAACGGAGCATTGGGGTAGTTTGGTCCCAGGAATAGGATACAGGATCTGGAGAAAGGAGACCTGGATTCTATTCCCAGCTCTATCACAGAGGCCTTGGCCAGTCAGATCCTTTCCCTGTGCCTCTATTCACAGCAGGAACTAGTTCCCCATCCCAACTGGAATACAAACAACAACCTAGTGAAGAACAACCCCATTCCCTACAGCTTTTGGGCAGTCTCCCATTCAAGCAGCAACCCAACCTAACCCTGCTTAGGGTGGAAGATCAGGCAGGATCAGAGCTCAAGGCAACAGGACGGCACAACACCAGCATGGTAAGGGTTACTACACTAAAGCATGCCTGGAGCAGAGACAAACCTCCCTCTGCTCTTTACACAGGAAAGGCCCTTCAGACTCAATTCTGTGTGCACACACAGCTGAAGGGGGGGGGGGGCGGGGAACTTCTTAGAAATGTTTACTTCTCCATGGTAACGCTACTAAACAATGGCTCCTATTCTTCCTCTTGCAAACCGGGAGCAACCCAAGCACCAGGGGCGCAGGGGGACTGCCAAAGGAAAGGGAAGCATGGGGACAAGTGGAGATTGTTACTCAACAACCCTTGCTTTCCTTTGGGGTTTCACTCTGGGCTTTCGGAGTAGCTTCTATGACACCTGCATAGCTTCTGGGCAAATGGCAAAGGCCACGCTGGTCCCACACGAACATGCTCCCTGAGATTTCTGCAGTGGATATTTTGGGTTAGGCTTAAAGAACTCAACAGGTTAACATAGCAACAACTCCCTTCCTGGGGAATCTGAACGCGATAGGGCCAGAGAGGTTGGAGAGGAAGATACAGGAATAGGCAATGTTAAAAAAAACAAACCCTGACTCATTCAATGAAGAGGATGGACAGTGCTCACTGAACAAGCAGCTATTGATTGTTTCTTCTTATCTTTGTTATTCAATGTGGGGACCTTGGTCTTAATTACTGTACACCGTTTAAACGTGCTGGGAAACTCTTGGGCGACTATAACTAAAGGCATTGCTACTTATAATATAGATAGATAAACCATTTCATGCGAGACACATGCAAGAATAATTTCTGACAGAGTGATTCCACTGAATCAAAGAGATTGGAATAAAAGAAAGCAAAAGTTTTCGGCATGGGGCATCACCCCTTTGGTTTATATTGGAACAGCCTACTGAAATAAAACAGATCAGTTAGCAAACCCACCATCCTGGTCTCACCTGTTCCACTCTCTGAGTCATCAGCATCCGTGGGGGTGTCAACATCTGTAATCTGAATATCGGGTATGATACTTGGCTTCACTGCAGACCTAATGAAGAGACAGACATATTGTTACAATACAAGATCAAAGTCACCAGCCAATACAGCGAGCTCACTTTCTCACACATAATGGAATGTCAGATGTGGGTGCCTCATCTAATGGACTTTTTTTTAATTTTTTTTAAAACACTAACACACACCCAAGTAAGGTTCGTATCTCAGAGTATGTAGCCAGGCCAGATAACCCCTACACAAATACAAGCAAGGTGGAAATTCACCCCTTGTGCAAAAGGGCCAGCCCACTTTTGCTGGTCCTCCACACAGGGGTGAATTTCATCCCTGGACACTTTCCGGTTTTATACCAGACTGAGGTACATACACCCGTGCACATGCACACACTGGAAGCCAAGAAGACTGGAACTGAAATTTTGGATCTGAGGCAAGAGTGGGCCCCCTATTTGACAAGGCAAAAGCTTGCTAGGTTTCATTTCTACTGCCATTAGTCTGTAAAGTAATTCAAAGACAGTGTCCGCTGTTGGATGTAGCAGAGAATTTCTGCCACCCTAGTTTTCAATACGCTATTTACTTCTCCACACTACAGCAGGGACAGATTTTCGGCTTTTAGTCCCGCAAAGTCTAATACCTGGGGAGAACGCTGAAGTGACCCTCAGATTTAACTTGGTTAAGACACTGCAGGTGATGTACGCCCCTCTGCAGTGACGTGCAATGCCACCGCATGACTTCAGTCCTCTTAGTAGCTGGCACTTGCACCAAGTCACATTCTGCTCTCAATAGCTATGCAGAAGTACTGGGTCCAGGAGATCGCATTCAGGGCTAGAAGTCAGGAAACTGGGTTCTATTCCTGGCTCTAACCTGCTGGATGACATGGGACAGCTCGCTTCTCTCTGTTCCCTCGCCCATGTCTTGTGTATTAAAATTGTAAGCTCTTTGGGACAGGGACTATTGTACTGTGAGACCATACAGTACCCAGCGTAGACTGGTTGGGTCTCTAGATGCTATGGCAAAAAACACAACAGTGTGTCCAAGTGCCATGGAATTCAGTGCCTACATGATGATTTTAAGTATTGTTTTTCAATGCACCCCACATTTTAACACACAGCTAAATGGAATGCATTGATCCTGGTAAGACAGTCAATGAAAAGTCAATCTATTAGTTCAATCAAAAGTTTATCATTTGACAAGTCCAATTCATTAGCTGTAATATCAGCAAATCAGTAAGGACTTTATGCAGTTAGAAAGATCAGGTGGCTTTCTAAAAGAGATTGCTCACATTTCTGGAGATTTAAGGGAAGTGTAATGATGCCTTTTGATAACATAGCAAAGCAAAAAACAATGTGTTGCGCAGGATTAATGCCCTATAACTGTGTCCCCATCTCAGCTCTTAATATCAAACTACTCGGCCAATGGAAATGTTCTGGACGTAGATTTTCCAGCTATGATTTTCATCCAAACTGATTTTTATAGGGGAAAAAAAAACTGATGAAGTTTTCCCCCAAATTCCCTTCCCCTTTTATCCCCCCCCAGCCAACTTTACTTAAGTTGGATGTTTTGAACAGTAAGTTTTTGTTGGGCTTCACTGCTGAAGAGAGGATCTCCTAACAAATACTGGGTTATATCAAATGTTTCAAAATATAGGATGATTTTCCTTCAGAGATAGATCCCATGGAATATGTTTGTACAACACCCACAGTGGCTTCCCTCCCCCCCCCCACACACACCCTGGTCATAAAGAATAACGTGGTCGTACCAGAATGATGTGAAGAAAGTACCGTGAAGTAAGACAGGCAGCAACACAATGATTCCAAGGGTCGCATGATGCAAGACAAGACATAAGGAGAGTTCACTCAACAATGAAATGATGGAAAAATCATAAGGACAGGAAAGGAGGAGAGGGAGACAGGACCGATGAGATTTACAGTTCAAGACAGTGAACTGGGACTTCTCCCAGCTCTGCCACAGCCTGACAGCATAACCTCTGTGTGCCTCAGTTTACCTAGACGTAAAGCAGTGATAATACTAGCTTACTTCACCGTAGGGGCTAGGAGACTAAATTCATTCGTTTGCAAGAGGCTCATTAGTACTCATTTCCTTTCTGGGATAGTCTAAACCACCTAGGTGGAGGCAACGTTAGCTTTCCCATCCCAGTCTTCACATTACTTTCTCCCAGTCAAATTTATAGACAGTTTCATAGAGTTTAAGACCAGAAGCGACTATCAGATAATCTAGTCTCATCTCCTGTATATCACAGCCCCTAAAATTTCACCCAGTTACCCCTCTGTTGAGCCCCATAACGTGTGTTTGGCTAAAGCTCATCTTCCAGAACAGCACCGAGTCTTGAGTTAAAGACAAAGATGGGGAATCCACCACTTCTCTGGGTAGTTTGTTCTAATGATTAATCACCCTCACTGTTTAAAAATAAATAAATAAAAATGGTGCCTTATTCCCAATTTGAATGGGTCTGGTTTTAGCTTCCAACCATTCTAATTCTGCCTTTCTCCATTAAATGAAAGAGCCCTTTAATACCGGCGATTTTCTCTCTATGAAGGTGGTTTCTACACTCTATCAAGTCACTGCTCAGTCTGGTAAGCTAAACAGACTGAGCTCTTAAAGTCTCTCACTGTGAGACATCTTCTCCAGCCCTCAAATCATTGTTGTGGCTCTTTTCTGCACCCTCTGTAATTGTTTCAATGTCCTTTGCAGAACGCTGACAGCAGAACAGGATGCAGTACTCCAGTCTTTCTCGTCAATGACATGTATTGTCCGTAGGACCCCTAACTCTCCCTCAGAGTCGCTGCTTTCCAGGATCTAGTCCACCATTCTGTAGGTCTGGCCTGCGTTCCTTGGTGTAGAATTTTGTATTTGGCTATGTTAAAGGAAGCACTGTTATTAAAGGTCCCAATCCTGCAAGGAGCTTCATGTGGGTCTCTGTCATACCAGAGACAGCTCTTTGTCGCCTTGTCTTCACTGGACTTTTGTACCTTAGGTGAAAGATTAGCCTAAGGTAAAAGTCCAAATATTTGCTACAAACATACCCATGGAAAAACATCCAAACTAGTCTTTACAAATATGTCAAGTGCCAATTAACGTTGGATAATCAGTTAACGCAAGGTGCAAAAGACAAGGCCCCATCTTCACTAGGGAAAAAAAAGGTTAAATCTTAACACGTGATTTAAACAAAACAAAATGTGGACAAGGCAGTTGTAGTTTTAACTTGCGTTAGCCCTTCAAGGTAAACACGAGCGACTGTTGCCCAGGGAGTCTTGCTTCCCACCCCCCACCCCCTTTGCGACTTTTTTGTTTACTCTGGAAGGTGTAGTTTTTGGGTTAGCCAGAGAGCTGAACTATCCAATCTGCAGGGAAACTGAGCCAACAGCCAGATCTGATGGTGGGAACATAAGGCATGCCCTAGCTGGGCCAGAGAGAACAAAGCTGTATTAAAGTTACATACTCTTTGTAGGGAAGTTGCAAGAGCCAAGCAAGGAAAATAATTCTATTGGCAAATCAAGTGTTAGAATACCTCCTACGGGATATGTTAAAATACCGAGTCAGTGAAATACACCGACTCTAAATAAAACCAGGGGAAAGTTCACTCTACAGCAAACCTAAGCAAGCTTAGCTTCTGTTGTAGATTGGGTTGCTTTTCACTGCCTTCCAGATAACGCGCACACAAAAAGCAGCACTGCAAGATGGGAATTCACAAGGCTGTCTCTCATGTTTGTTTACCAACTGGCAACGAAGAATTAGTACCGCCAGCCAGCAATTGTACAGAAGATTTTTTTCCATCCACAGATCTCCAATAGCTTTACAAGAGGTTCCCAGTTCAGAGATGGGAAATTGAAACACGCAGGAGTTGTGTGATGTTGAAAAGGTCACCTAAGTCAGTGGTACAGCTGGGAAAGAAAGCCCCAGGTGTCTCAGTTCCTACGACCCAACTGGTTCTCTGAAATAAGCAGACTGCACTGGTAGAGCCCTAAGCCAAGTAGCAGGACCTGCCCATCACAGGAGTAAGGACTTAGTGGCTTCAAACAGCAGCTTTATTAGGCGAGGCAAAAGAAAGCCTCTCGAGCAAGATGGCAGGAGATGTGAAAAGCTCACCTTAGATGTACTGAGGGCTTTGAGCACCAGCAACTGCCTACACCAGTAGCGCTGGTCTATTCAGCAATGAGCCAACTGGCTAGATTCTCCTCAGCGGCAGCAGGGCTACAGAAGTTCCCCAATCTCCCCCATAGGGCTGTACAAACCATCACCGTAGCGTTGACCAGCTCAGATGGGAAGAGCTTAGCACACAGTTGTAATCTGAAGGCAACCAGTAGGGTGGTAGTGTGGCCTAGTGGAGATGGCACTAGAATAGGACTTTGGAAACCTGGGTTCTGTTCCCGGCTCTGCCACTAACCCGTTGTGTGACCTTGAGAAAGTCACTTCATCTCCCAGTGCCTCAGTTTCCCCTCCCACCCTATTTAGCATGTAAGCTCTTCAGGGCAGAGCGTGTCTTCCTACATGTTTGTACAGCACCTAGCATACTGGGGCTGTGCTCCTGGTTGTGGCCTTTAGGCGCTACTGCAATACAAGTAATAACACACGCATCACTCAACACTCTCCCCCAGTGACTGCAGATGACACTGGCAATAAGCCTTAATTCAACCTCTGTAGGGAGGAGAACCTCATCAGCCTGTTTCTGGAGCTGCATGTTGGGTCCCGGTGTTGCATGTGTGCAGTCCAGCAGACACCCATGGATGTCTCTACCAAGACAATGAATCCATGCCCGGGAGTTCTAACAACAGCTTCCTCCCTAAGCAGAGCGGACCATCTACTGACCCCTGTGCGCCCAGGTTGCAGCCAGAGTGCCAAGAGGAGGAGGAAGGAGGAGGCCGGATCCGCTGGTTGTCATCCTGCATCTGCAGCCGGATGGGCCTGCACAAGCCCCAGGAGATGTTCAGCAAACCCTCGACGATGAACTCGCCTTCCTCCTGGGCAGCAAACACAAAGACACACATCAACATCTCAGAGCGCTGCCTTGGCCAGAGCCCTCTCCTCCTCAGCAAGGCAGATCTAAACACACAGCCCTACCGTCCTATCCTTACTCCCCACCAGGCTCTCCAAACACTTGATCGTCACTAACAAAGCCTCACAATGTGAGAGACGGGCCATATCATCTCCACGGTATGGACAGGGAAATGGAAAGCCAAATGGTGTTGGATTTACTCAGTGTGTGACATCATGCCATTGGGCAACGTTGGAAACAGAAGCAGGAGTCCTGACTCCAGGCCTAGTCTACACTTAAGTTTTAGGAGTAATATTTTGCTTAGGGGCATGATTTTTTTAAGCCAATGTAGTTATACTGGTAAAAGCTCTAGAACAGAGGCAGTTACACCAGTATAAAGAGACTTTGTACTAGTATAGCTTATTCCCTTTCCCATATGGAAATAAGTATACTGGTAGAAAGCACCTTTACGGAGATACGGCTGCACACAGTAAAGGTAGTTGTGTCTCTTTAACGACACCAATATAGTTAGTGAGATACAACTTTCTAGTGTAGATAAGAAATCCCCTGTTCTAACCCTAGACTATGCTCCCCGCCCAGAGTTGGGAAAAGAACCCAGGAGTCCTGACTCCCAGCCTTCTGCTCTAACTAAAAGCCCACCTTCTTTCAGGTGCCATGCATTCGATACTCCAAAAAGCATCCCACAGCACACAATGGGCAACAGGCTTAAATCATGCAACATTAAGGAACAATGATATTACTGATAAAAAGTTGGTCTAGAGGATCATGGTGTTCTCATTCCAGCCTTAACCTTTGAATCCCAGGAAGAGACCGGATCCCACTCCCATTTAAATGAGTGTCAAAATTCCCATTGATTCTGAAAGGTGATCGTGTGGGAGAGGGGAGAGCCCATTGGATCTCTATGTCTCCCTCCGTAAAATAGGAGCCCCACAGCTGTAGAACTCCTCCTTGCAAGAATAACCAGCAATCAGCTTGCTTTGCCAGCAATCACTTTTTGACCTCCAAGGTGGGCACTGACCCAGACGGGCTCGTTTTTCCACGCAGCCTCCTCCATTTAAGTCACAAGACCAGCCTGCTCCATATTTACTCATTGATTTCTCACCTCTCTGTACCGGAGCTGCAAATTCTGACCTTCATAATACAAGTTGTAGGTCTTCAAGTGCAACAGCAGTTCATTTCTGGAAGATAAATAACATTAATGCAGGCAAGGAGTCGCACTGAGATGAAGAAAGAACCAAAGCCTGAGAAACTCGGGTTCATATGCTGCTCCCGGCCCTGTGGTATCAGAGCGCCTGACCTGAAGCAGGTTTGATGGAGTCAGGAATGACTTTCCAGAGCCAGGGCTGGATTAAGGCAAACGGGTTATAGGCACGATGCCTCATGACCCCGCATCTACATGGGATGGCAGGAGCAGGCTCCCCACGGCAGAGCCATCTGATGCCCTGCTGAGGGACTTAGCACTGCTTCTCTTTGGCCAGGCTTAGGCTACCCCACTTCTACAGCCCTGGGATCTGCCCAGGAGACTGTCTGCAGGCTCTGGCAGGAGTCACTGCAGTGGTTACGCTCGCGTCGCTCTTTCAAGCTTTTCTTTACAATAGCAAGGGATGGAAAAACATTTTCTCTTAGCTATGAAAGTGGAGATTCCCACAGGATCTCCTGACTGTGGGAGACGAGGCCCTGGGTGTGGGTCCGTAGCACTGATGGCTTAATCCAGCCATATCCAGAGCTTGCATTCAACGACTGAGGGCTACGAGACCAGAAATTGGTCGTTCCCTGCCTCGGCTTCCACTCACACTGCACGGAAAAGGGACGTGTTGGGGAAAAGCACAAGCATGCCGAGGTGGAAACGGAGACCCTCTTCCTAACCTTCGTGACGTGGCGCACAACAGCTGCCATCTGGAGAGGGGAACTCACTGCTCCCTAGGGATGCATCAGGCCTCTGTGTAGCTCCTACTACTCCAGATATGGGGCTGGCAGCGAGGACAGGCTGACGTAAACAGGACTCCCCACCCTTACCCCTGTACACATACACCTCCTTTCCTTCTCCTCTCCTGTACCTCAGCCTGCCTTGATGGACCTTAACAGAGCACTGTCCTTGTTACCAATGAGTGCCAGGCGGCTCATGCGTTCCAGTAGGGATTCTTCCCAGGCAGTTACTGAGCAGTAAGCTGGAATCTGGAGCCGGTGACCATTTAGTATATGCATTATTGCAGCACCTAGATTCTCTCTCACTCACCCACCCCGCACAGAGTCAGAGACTGTCCCTGCTCTAAACAGACATGACTGGGGCAGGGAGTATTATCCACATAGAAGGCAAAGTGCAGCCCTGAGCAGTTAACTGATTTGACCGAGACAGTCTTCGATAAAGCCAAGAATAAAGTCCAGAACTTCTGAGTCCTAGTCCAGGATCTTAACCACATGGGACAAGGAGTACACTGTGCCACTCTGTGCTGCCAGCTGCACATCTGGAAATGCGGAAAAACCGATACCCAGAGAACCAGAACCACATACTAGAGGTCCAGTGATCACTTCCCATTTTGTTTCCATAAGCCCTTCAAAAAACAATCTGCAGGGTGCATCAACGTATCGGCCCTAGAGCTGGGCAATGATTTTGCCCCACTCTAAGCACACGCCTCAAATATGGGGGCCATTAATGCTTGTTTATTGCATCTTCCGGTCAAGAGTAAGGAGTGCGCAGCCACAACGACTGTGTCCTGCCAGCCAACACTGTCCTGAAGGAATGCTGTCTGGGCTTCGCAAGAGGCCTTTCTTCCAATGATCAAAAAACCCACTGCAACAAAAAACTCAGACAGACCGACCTTGATAAAGCAGACTTCAAGGCTGCAAGACAAGCAGCTTAGGGAACACACAGTCATTTGACTTGGTACCGCATTTATTGTCAAAATAATAAAACAGCCCCCATCACAACACATTTCTGATGTCTATTCACTGCACCAGCCCCCGATCTTACAGTTTAAACAGCACCACAGGTGTAGATACTGAATGGGAGGAGGGGAGGGAAAAGAGAGACCTAGCATAGGTACACAGGTCCAGATCCTCGAAGGTGTTTAGGCACCTAAGTCCCATTGATTTCGATGGAGGTTAGGAACATAAATATATTTAAGAATTAGGGCCCTCGGGCCTGATCCTCCGGGTAGCTTTGGCTGCTTGGCACTACTCTGACAATGCAAAGCAGCCAAAACACATTGGCCGGTTTGGCCTGGAGTGTGGCAGGTGCAGTATTTTCCTGACCTCTAGAGGCGTTTTTTTTTTTTTCCCCCCAGCCTGGGAATAACATTGTTCCCATGCAAAGGTCACTAAACGTCTGATCCATCCAACCAGGCATCTCACAAATTGCCCAATCGCTGGACGATTAGGTATCACCTAGGTAACATTTCTATTAAACTACCATAGGACGGACACCTAGCATTTGCACAACACTTCCAATTTGGAGGTGTCAAACTCTGCAAAGGTGGGGGGGTTAGAATCATAGAAGATTAGGGTTGGAAGAGACCTCAGGAGGTCATCTCGTCCAACCCCCTGCTCAAAGCAGGACCAATGCCAACTAAATCATCCCAGCCAGGGCTTTGTCAAGCTGGGCCTTAAAACCTCTAAGGAAGGAGATTTCACCACCTCCCTAGGTAACCCAATTCCAGTGCTTCACTACCCCCTCGCTCTTATCTGTCACTAGGTTGCCTCCCCCCATTCAGTAAGGGTCCCACACTTTCCCTGACCACCTTCTTGTTGCTAACATACCTGTAGAAACCCTTCTTGTTACCCTTTGCATCCCTTGCTAGCTGCAACTCCAGTTGTGCCTTGGCCTTTCTGATTACACCCCTGCATGCTCGAGCAATGTTTTCATAAATATACATAATTATCACCATTCCTATTTTACAGATGGGAAAACTGAGGCAGACAGACAGACTACAGCCAAAAATTTCCCAAAACACTTGTCCAGTGATTTGGGGGCACCTCAATCTAAGGCACATGCAGAGATTTGGGCCTGGTCTACACAACTTTTGTTCCAGGGTAACTATTTCAGTTAGGGGTGCGATTTTTTTTCTTCTTCTTACCAACGTAATTCTACTGATCTGTTATTATAGCTTATTCCTACTTAGGGGGCTGGGTAATAACCAGCATCTTTCCATCTTCATCTCCTTGGCTGCAACCCATTCAATGATTTCTCAGCCATGGAATGTTACTATTCCCCCCAAGGCTCCTCTGTGGATTTTTCCATGCTTTGAATCATCAATTGCTAGAGAGATCACCTCCCCTTCCACCTCTGTCCACAGCTTTAAGTTCTTTGTGTGTCTGCATCTGCCCCTCCTCCACCAGTCACCAGGGCCTTTCATAAATAAATCATAATACCAAAAATATTTCTGCGTTAAGCTCTGGTTGTAATCTTACTTTGAAATGTATTTGTCTTTTCCACAGGGGACTAGGGATGACTGGCTGCAGTAATCCATCCTCACAATCTTCTTTCATTAGGAGCGGAGATCTGAATTGTAGAGGGTGGGGGAGGGGGGGAGAAAGATACAAGAGAAATTTGCATTAATCACTGCATCATTTCCATCTTAATATATGTAGATTGGGCCGGATCCAAAGCCCAGTCGACTCTGCGGGAGTTTTTCCACTGCCTTCAGAACTTTGGATCCATCTGTCAGCTACATCAGTCCATGGTGCAGACGGCAAAATAGAAAGTTCCAATTCAAATGATGGACTTAAAAGCGGAAATATGAAAAGTCAGGTGAGGGGAAAGTAAAGAGAATCACTGCAAGTGCACCATACTAAGCGACCCAGGGAGACACAATTAATAGAATACTTTGTATTTCTATTATACCCTTCCACCCAAGCTCTTTTCAGATAGGAAGGTATTGAGCCAGTGAGGCAGATATTATACCCGTTTTACAGATGAGGAGAAGAGGACACTTGCACTTGGACACTAGTGTTCTGGTTTCAAGTCCCAGCTCTACTGCAAACTCCCCACTTACAAGCAATTCACTTACTCTCTGGGCCTCAGTTTCTCATCTGTGAATGAGGATAATTATCCTCTCTCTCTCTTTCATCTATTCAGGTTCTAGCACTTTCGGGCTGTTCTTACTTTATTTACAGCGCCTGGAGCGTTGGGAACTTTAGGTGTGATCATAAAAACAAACACTCACTGACGTGCTGCAGGTCGCACAGCGAGCCTTTTGGCAGAGGCACAAATAGAACCCAGGAGTCCTGATCTCCCACCTTCTACCGATGGATAATTGTCAAAGGTTAGGGCAATGACCATTTTATTGTGCTGTGTTTGTACAGTGCCTAGCAAAATGGGGTCCTAGTTCATGACCAGAGCGCTCCTAGGTGCTATTGCATTAATAATGATAATCATGTTTAACCCACACATCCAAAGGTTCGGAGGGACATCTCTTAAATCTAACAGGCTCTGATCAGTTACCCGGAGCTGCCAGTTACTTTCTGAGCTGGAAATGCCAGGGGCACCTCTGAAGGTATGTTGACACTTCCACTCCCTGGATTCCCACAAGTGCAAATAGGACGGGGGTGGCGGGAAGGAGATCTATTTATCATTCAGATCAGATTCCAGTTTGGGTCAATTCTCACCCACCCCTACTCACAGTAAGGTTCCCCTCCATCCTACCACTCCTTATCAGGATGCAGCTTAGGATACCCTCTGTTGTTTTGAGAATGGCTGCAACAGACACAGAAACCTCCATCCACTTCAGTGGTGTTTCTAAAGGGAGACTAGAGGCCAGGCAACCTTGGATTCTACCGATGGGAAGAAAATTTGGAACATGCTTTTCGACTCCACTGGATCAGGAGAGGTGTTTTGGTTGAACCCAGTAGGGAAAATGATAAATAAACAAATACAAAGACAGTTGCCCTGCACACAAGACTCTCCTTTGACCAATCACCAGCAGCCCGAGGTGACATGCATTTTCCACCCCCATGTATCAACACCAAATATCCCCAGCCATCATATTTGAACCTGCTTCTAAGGAGAAGCTTGTTTGAATTCCCCAGTGGAAAGTAACACTGTCTTTGATCAGCTGGGGCCTCAGTCGAGTTGTTGTGACTATTTCACATGAAACACCTGAACATTTTGGGTCCTGCCTTTCGTTTCAGTTGCAAGGGAACAACACCATTTCACACACAAAGAACTGCCTGTTTCCCCTGTATACACTTGGAAAAAACAAACCAGTTGTGTTTTCATCCTGATTTCACTCCCCTAAAACAAAAAACAAAACAAAAACCTACATATTATAAACTTTCAAATGCAGAATGGCCTTGCCACCAAAGTTGATTTTTTACATTGAGGTCCAATGATTTATTTATTTATTGCAATTGCATGGGTTTAGATGTGGAGACAGACACTTGCCAAAAAAAAAAGTCATTCATTTTTTTACCTCTGAAGTGTCCCCACATGAAATTGTCAGTTTTTATTTATTTATTTATTGGGAGCTACGAAGCATAACTAAAATGAGATGTTTCCCAAGACAGCCAAGAGCTTTAGGCACTTTGGAAAACAGGCTCCTAACTCACTTGGGTGCTTGTACAATTTTTTTTACTTAAACTCTCACTTCAATTACTTAACAAATAATTAGAAATCATTGCATTACTTTGAAAGATGTACGCTTTTCAGGGCACATTTCTTCATTACGTGTTTGTGAAGTGTCTAATACAAGGGGACCCTGATCCCTGTTTGAGACCTGTAGGTGCTACCCCAGCACAAATCAGACACTTCTGTAATAGATACTTAAATATGAGATTTCATGCCAAAAATATCCACCACTTTATACACAACACACACGCACTTTCCTCAGCTGTACAATGGCAATACTATTATTGGACCTCCTTTGTAAAGTGCTTTGAACTCTGCAGATGAGAAGCACTCTGAGATCCAGGTATTATTGTTATTCGTTTCCTAAGGAAATTGCTCAGTCCTTCTCTTTGACTTGAAGAGAAGGGCCCACATGTTAAGTTAAAGATACAGGGTCTTCTAGCTCAGTATCACACTGAAGTCGATGGCAGATCCACGCAATGGTAGCAGGGTCTGGAGTGAATTTCACAGCACTACTGCACAGGGAAATCGCTTCAGGACCTCAAAGCCCTTCACACAAATACGCTAGTTCGCTTCACATTGCAAGGAGGTGGATATTTTACAGAAGGGGAAATGAAGGCACAGTGAGGAGACTTGCCCGCAGTCACACAGGAGCCAATGACTGGGTCAGAAATCCCTGCTCCCAGTTCTCCTGGGCCACAGTTAGGACACCCTCTCCCATCCCACACTGGCACAATCCTGACCAAAACTGCAGCTACATTCCAACTCCATGCTTCTAAATCCAGCAGCGGCCCAAGCACAAAAGCCTATATTTAAACCCAGCAACAGCGAGCGTGAGACACAAGCAGACAAAGGGCAGGAAATTCAAAGCTACAGCTAACAACTCTGTCCACAGTGCATTGTCCTGAAAAAGGAGAACAGAAACGCAAAATAAGAACGCAACTAATGACGGAAAGACTAACACAGCTTTTTATTTTCTAGCTTATGCTACTGAGTTTCACAACCACCTCAGCAAGGCTGAAATAGCTGGGTTAAGCTGTGAATGGCCTGGAGGGAGGTAGGCAATGTTCACTTAGAAAAATTAGAAGGAATTAGTCTCCAATGGAAAAAAAAAGAGTAACAAACATTAATATTGACCAGAGGTGTGTTACTGGTCAGGCAAACATGAGCCATGTTTAGACTGCCACATTATGAACTCTGGACAATTATTACTATTAGTACTGACATAGCCCTACAAGTCACAGCTGTGATCGGGGTCCCATTGTGTTAGCTAACGTACCCACACGTAGCAAAGACCGTGCTTGCCCTGAAGAGCTTTTAGAGTCTAAAAGTTGGGGAAAAGTAGTATTGTCTCCAGTTTGCAGATGGCGAGACTTAGACACGGAGAAATTAAGGTCACACAGGAAATCTGTGGCAGGGACAGGAACCGAAACCAGATCCGGCACACCGTTTAGATAGACAAAGGATGGGAGGGGAAACTGAGGCACAGACAGAGAAGCAACTTGCCCAAGGTCACACAAGAGATCAGTGCAAAGCTGGGAATAGAACCAAGTCTCCTAACTCCAAGTCCAGTGGGCTGTCCACTAGATGACACTGCCTCTCAATGTTTAGTATCCGTGTTGTGGTCTCTGGGTCTTATATCATTCCTCTCCCCTTTTTAGACTTGTTCCACGTACATGCTCATTTTGATAGGCAGAAATGTACCTGTGTAATCTGACTAATTAACTTCACAACCAACCAATCTCAATGTTATTCACCTCCAAGGAGGTGAACAATGGAAACTTACAAAGGGAAAAATCCTGATTTATCAATGGCAGAAGTCAAGAACAGCACTTCTCTACCTCATGCGAGCATGGAGAAGTTCAGTGCTCATAAAGAGATCCTCAGAAGAAAAGCATCGCGGTGCGTAGTGCAGTCCGCATCCTAACAGAGAGATTCTCTTGTGGACCAATTCCCCGCCCGTTGCGGATCACATAACGGTGTCTAGTAGAGGCAGCTGGGCTCTTCCGCACTCACAGATGTTCTCAGAGGCCATCGGGCTGTCCCGCGAGGAGCCTGGACATCTATCTCAACAGCCTCCTTCCCAGCCAGCTCGCCAAAGATCATGGCCCACAGATTGATCTCTGAAGAGATAAGGCATGTATTCCCAGCATGGCCACTGACTTGGACCTTTTCCCCCCTTCTCTCTCTCCCCTGCCCCCATCAGTAAAACAGGGATAACACTGACCTTCACACCAGAATTTCTGTGACCTCTGAATGAAGAGTGATATGAAATTGTAAGATATTAAGTGGACAGAATTACTGCTATAGAAACAAACAACATACTCACAGGACAGATCTTGCCATGCACTTCTACACCCAGTTCTCCCTGAATGCTCAGCAGAAACATGGGTAGAGAACCAGCGACCAGCTCCTCATGCCCTCTTTGAAAGAGCAAAAATTCAAGACAGAGCAAGAGGGTGGTATGAGTAATGGGGCCGGCCGGACGGCATAGATATCCGAACAGAATGGATGAGCATCCGTAGGCCAAACTGAAACCAGGATGGGCGAAAAAACCCTCGGAGACCCGTAAATGAGGAAATTATGTCTTATTCTATGCGAGCTCAGAAGGGAGGAACAGAGCAGAGACGGCATTGCAGCGGGGGCGGGGTGGGATCCATCCATCTCTCAGACAAGAGCAATTGCTATTACAAAGACAGCAGGGACGGAGGGATAGGTGACTGATAGGCGAGTCGGGAAGAGGCGACAAGGCTGCATCCGAGACACACAGACTGATGCTGAGGCAAATACATACAACCAAGATTCGCAGCAGTATGGCTGAAGATCAACCTTTCAACAAGATGTCTGGCCTGGGAAAGTTTCCAGCCATCTTGTACTACCTCAATTTGACCTTCCCTGAGGATGGAGTCTCTTGACTAGATGACCTCCTGAGGTCT